GCAAACTCTTCGGTCACAAAATTTATTTGTGAACCAGACTCGAGAAACGGTTTGAACGCTCAGAACAGCAGTTGCAAGAATGACTCGATCCGAGGCATTCGCATGCAAAACATGCGGCGTGGATGGAGACTCCTGCATGAGCGTGGGTTGAGAGGGGGGTGGCACAGAGAGATTTGTGTTTGGGGACTATATGTGTAGCAAAGTGTGATGTGAGGAATTGCACACCCAGTTAATGCATAAGGGTGCTCTTTTAGCGAAATCGAATCTTTGATAAACTGTTAGGGCTGCGAAGGAAGCGCAGTTTCCAATCTGATGTTCAGCTGAGTTGCAATACACGCATTGAACAGAGTCGTTCCTGGCAGCGACAAACCAAAAACTCATATTTCCATTCTTCTTAGGGTTAGATTAGGTCTGCTGAACAGTCTTGGGCTTGGAAGCCTCTTCCGCTACCATGTGTTGGTATCGCCTGTTAAGGGCCGCCTTACATTCGCTCCAAAGTGGAAGCGAAGTATAATCTTACTGTTCTTCCCATTTTCTTTTAGTTCCTGCATCGACCTTGCTCATTACCAGATGTATTAAAATAGCATTAGTAATGCGTCTATTATCCCCGATAGACAGCAAGGAGTCATATAAGGCTGTGACCATGTCGATGAGGGTTCTCAAGGCTGTAGCTGAAGACTGGGAAATTTTTTGCAAAATAAAAAGTGTCGATATGTTGTCAAACAAGATAAGACAATCATTATCGTACACCCGCTTCAGGCTAGAATGGGCTTTGGGATAATTTTCCGCAGTGACTGTTCCTAAAGCGTCTCTAGCTAAACACGAAATTAAATGATTGAATTTTTCAATATCGTGTAAAGTGTCATCTTTGTCAAAGAAAGTTTCGAAAAGGCTTATAAAATTTTTAAATTCGGAGTGTTTTCCGCTAAAAGTTGGGAGAGCAACGCTCGGTAAACGGCATTGAGGCGGGCGATTTGCTGGCGGAGCGGGTTTCTCGATATAATTTTGTTTGCACTTATTTAAAATCAAAATCAGCAATGACTTTGTCATTACGGCCCTCTCTTCCAACTCTTCGTGGTATACATCTTTTGTATCTTTCACTTCTATTTGGTTTTGCAAAAGTGTATCATTTTCAATGTGCGTATTTAAAAGCTCTAATCGACCCTCAAGCTCGACCGGATTTACTGATAATTTAGCTTCTTTTAAATGGCGATAAGTTCGGTTAATACTTTTCATGCAAGCATCTCGTTGGTGTTTAAGCTCTTCGATATCCTTAGATGCCATTGCGTTTATTTGTATTTATTTTGTTGGAATTGAGGAGGTGTTAAATATTTATTATAATTAAATTATTTGTTAAATAATCTAATAAAAAATCAACGAGTAATATACCGATCGCACACAGTGTAAGTGAGCTAAGTGCCGAGTGAATTACAGCGAAAAATATCTAAATAGGGTTTTTATATTTTTTAAATAAAAAACCCCGCGACAGTATATGCCGCACGCACGCATTGCAGGGGAGCTAACGCTCAAGCTCAACCGTATCGAAAAAACGAACAAACGTTTAGGCAGACTGAAAATTTGCACTGCTGCTGCTTTCGAGAACGAAAGCGACCAAAGATAACTCGAAAAAGCGGCAGCGGTGTCGGTGTGCGTGTGAATGTGTACGCGGCTAGCGGCTCTTCCTAGGCAAATGCTAACGGAGAATGATACACTGACCGATAACTAAGTGCAGCGAATATATAAACCTGATGCCGAAAGGCGCGCAAAAATTATAAAAAGCTCGGGACAATTGCAAAAGCGCGGGAAAATTCTGAAAAGCGCGGAAGAATTTTGAAAAGCGTGGGAAAATTTTGAAAGGCGCAAGAAAATGTTTAGACAAGCTGCGACGAAAATTATTGCCGCTAATTTTTGAGAACTACACTTTCCACAATTTGCATTTTTTTCCAGCTGACGAAAATTGGGGGAATTAAGTTCGCACTAATTGGGTCGACGACGAGTATTTTATTTGCTTATGGGCCAAAGCGTTTCATTGCAGAATTTTGGTTGTTGGTTCATGCAAATTTTTATTTCTTGGTTAGAATGCTTCACTATCTACCGAATTTTTCACGAATGCAAAAAGTCGAAAGATGGGCCAAAACACAATTGACAAACCGTCACAGATTAACTTTCAACTTTTAGCACTCTATACCTGGTTGGCCAACTTGATAAATGCAACTTCCTTTTATACTTCCATTTGGCGGCAGCAGCAAATTAAGCAATTAAATTTGCAGAAACGTCTGGGGCAACTCAAGGAACGGCAAACAATTTCCAGCGACGAAATATTGTTGAATTTAATTTTTTGGCCAAACCGACACCAATAAATTGGTTTTGGGTATTCTTGGTAATTTTTATAGTTTTTCACCGAAAAAATTAAAACAACTCGCGAACTCTACTGCTATCACGACTGGGTCACCATGCAAATTTAATGCCGTTTTGTATTAACAACGCGAAAAACTTGTGACTGCAGTAGTTCGAGACGATTTATTTTGCGTTATTTGTGAAGAAACTATTTCGAAATCACGACGACGAAAAGAAGTGGTTACAATGACGTTCGATTAATCACTAACTTTAATATTTCAATAATTTCTCTTAAAACCTAACTTATCCACATATTCTTGGTAACCGTAAGGTACCTATTTCAATCAAATTAAACACCGTAATTTACCTTTAAACGCGTTTTCCTGAAAGTAGTGTTTTTTTAGCTGCCGAGTAAGACTTTTTATAGAAGGACTAGTCCGATTTTAGTAATCTTTTGTTTTTTCACAAAACATACCGCTATGTTTGGCCGAGTACGATTTTCGAATATTTTTTTGTTCCATTTTTATTATAATGGTTGACATGAAAGTACGTCGGCGACGACCTTCCCCTTTGATATTGTACATCGAAATGGTATTGCTGAAGTTCTGACGCTCATCGTTCAATCCGGTCGGAAGACTTATCGATCTCTGTGAAAATACACTATAACGACTAACCCGGAGTCGACATAATGGTTACTATCGACTCCGGGTTAGTCGTTATAGCGTATTTCCATAGAGATAAATCCACCTTTCACCATCCGTTGAAGGGGTGGACCAAAAGGTTTTGCCGTTCCGTTTTGACGAGCAACAGCTGTTCAGATCATTTTCAAGGTAACCGAAAATCTCATGAATGTAGGCTAGTAAACAAAAAGGTCAAATTGGCCACACTGTTGTTTTCCAACACAACAACGAGCTCCATTAGGCGATGCTTTGCGTTTGGGTTTGATTTAACGAATGCATTGGAAACCACGGATCCCTTAAAAGTTTTCAACGATTGGTTCGATGTGTTCAACTCCATATTGGTAACATCAAACTCCATCGAAACGACACAGCCGTTTAGAAAATAAAGTTAAATCCAACGAAGCGTTTTGACTGAAACGACTGAAATTATGAGTGCAGACATAGTTGACAAAGCTCGTAGGCTGCCCTACCAGAAAGGAATTTTGGTCAACAACTCTTAATGGTCTACTTGCCTATCTTTCAAAAACAACGAGATGGATTTCGTATTAATAAGTCGACTTAACCAAGACATTATTGAAACCATTTTTTGGCGCGATGCGGGCGAGGGGAGGACAATGCGACCATTCGACTGCTCTTCAATTTAGGTATAGGCTAAGAAAATATATAACAGGTATTACAAAATTAAAACAATAGTTAATACTGGATTTTAACAATGTCAAATGTTTAGCTCTATGTTTTGCAATGTTAGTTACAGAGGACGCGTTGGATATCATAGCGGGCGTTGTTATACAAAAATTGCAAATGTGTTGGCCGACAATGGGACGTTCACTTACGTGGATGAAGTGTTTCACGGAGTGCACATTAAACAGCTGGAAATAATATTTTTAGGTTTTGTAATGATAATTTTAAAAAATTCTATTTAAAGATTAAAATAAATTTTAGGATTAAGAACCTTAACAAAAAACTTTCTATACAAAAACCACGACTTATATCCAACTCAAAATTATTAAAAATTAAATTCTAAAAAAAAGCATTAAGTTATCCACACACTATTGCTGTTTCGCTTGCACTTACTAGGCTGAGCACCTCTCACTGGCACTCGTTGTTATGATTGTAGAGGTACTAGATTTTTTCCGACGAGACTACCTTTAGTTATTGTATCATGATGGGAACTACATGAGGGTTCTATACAATAGTTTCGTAAAACCTCGTCAATTAGGTCATCAATATTGTGATTCTTTGGAAAATAACGTTGATTGATGTGTGCTCGCATTGTGCTCGGCGATATGTGATACGCCAGTCCGTCGAGCCTGGCCAATTCCTCAGCAAGAAACTGGCTAACCCATGGTTCGAGGGTTTTGGTGGCGGTCGGCTCCTTGGTATCCTTGAAGATGGCTGAGGTTCTACCGGCATCAAGTAGAAATTCTGGTCTAGTAGGGGTGCCTTCGTTTAGTGGCCAAGTGGGATTCTCTCTGGGTACTCTGGGGTTCTGAAACTCTCTGGGTTCTCTTTTGCTCTGATTCACTTTGGGTTCTCTGTTGTTCGGATTTTCTGTAGGTTCTCTGCAACTCTGATTCTCTGTTACTCTGATTCTGTTACTCTGATTCTCTCTGAGTTCTCTGTTGTTTCTTTTCTCTCTGGGTTCTCTGTTCTCTAGCTCCCGCGAAAAGGGTTATTTCGTACAGCGGTTGCGTCAGTAGTCCCAAGGATGCTGGTTGAAATCACTGTGACTTGAGTCTTTTTCACTGGATTGCTGGCGCGTTACTCGGTTTCCCGCGCTTCATTGACTGGGATAGAACGCCCGCAGCTCTGCTCTGGCAATGCAGTTTGACAGATGCCGCCACCTAGACCCCGATTGTTTTGTGGGGATATATTTAGTTTAAAATTGTTAAGCTGAGTATCTAATAGTCGTGAAACTCGACTATGGCGTTCTTTCTTGTTTAATTATATACAGTTAAAAATAGTTATATCAAATTCAAATACTTATATTGAATAGAACATTTGTTTTATTTGGGTTTTTAACGAGTAACATGAATTATTTCAAATATAAATGCTTTCGGTTCAATCTCTAATAGTGTATATGGTTAAACATCATACGGATTGCTTTTTCGATTTTTTTTTTGGTAAGCTAAATCATGCAGACATAAAACCGCCATTAGATGTGTAAACCTTCGTTTTAATAGTTAACAATTTCTCTTATAGCTGACAAGCATCGGTGCTTATCAGGCAAATAAAAAGGCTCAAAGACATGAGGAAAAGGTGTGTCCCATCCAGTCACTCGTTTTACGGGTGCTTCTAGGTACAAAAAACACTTTTCTTGAATGTAAGATGCTAGTTCTGAGCCAAATCCCTGTGTTAACGGTGCCTCGTGCGCAATTATAACTCGCCCGGTTTTTTTTGCAGACTGAAGTATTTTTTCATGATTAATATTTAAACTTGTTTAAAAAAATGTAAATTTTAAATACTTACGGTACATATTGCATTAGTATCCCACGGCAAAATAGAAACCAAATCAATAACTTCACAATCGACATTAAAATCCATTTTCGCCTGTTCAGCTACCTTTAAACAAAAATATTGTTTTAGAAAAGAAAAAAAATTTACATTATTTTAAGTACCTCTAATAGCACATGGACTTGTGTACCCCAGCCAACAAGTGTGACATCTTTTCCATGCCTCAGAATGTCAGCTTTTCCGAGTTCCGAGGTGTAGTATTCTGTTGGCACTTCCTCAATAGCTGCTCGGTACAAAGTTTTAGGTTCGAAAACGATGCAAGGGTTTGGATCACGAATACATGCAAGGAGAAGACCTTTCGCCTTTATCGGTCCACGAGGAACCTATTAAAAGAACATTTACAAATAAAATTGGAAATTGACAGTTTGTATATAAACTTGAAAATTACCACAACACGAAGTCCCGGAGTGTGAGCAAAATATGCTTCAGGACTTTGAGAATGATATAATGCTCCGTGTCCAACAGCACCACAAGGAACTCTAAATGTTAAGGATCCACAGTCAAAGAGGCCACCGCTTCGATACCGGTACTTGGCAGCTTCATTAATTATCTGATCAAAACTCGGAAATATGTAGTCCGCAAATTGAATTTCAGCTATTGCGGTAGTTCCTGTATTAGCCACACCAATCGCAAAACTATAAAATAAATTTACGCAAACGACATTTTTTAAAGTAACATAAGTAATAGCTATAAAACTGTTTGTGGTCATTTATTAATTAACACAGGTACACAGCCAAAAAATTCTACGAACTATTTAAACTTTTCCATTACGATTGAGTGCTCCTGAATACAAGTCCCACCCAAACATCAGCTAAGCGTTCCGCGGTACAGCTAAAAATACAAATATCCTATGTTTGACGACATTTTTGACTATGCAACCCTTATAATTAAGTTACATCATTTTTTTTGTTGACAAACACTCTTGGTACACCACCGCTTTATAAAAAAAAAAGTATCTGGCAGAAACTATTATCAATCTCTTTGAAGTATGACGTCAAAATTGAAAAATCTGATTTTACACAGTTTCTCCAATCAATGTCTCAACAAAATATATCTTCAATGAATTCACTTTTGATTTTTCTTGGAATCTTCAGTTTCTGTGTTTTGTAACTTCGGTTAAAAAATTACTTTAAGGGTTTTTTGTATCGTTAAAAACAAAATTGTTGGGAATCAACTAATATTTTTTCTACAATTTTAATAAAGCCAAGACACCCTTAAACATGTCTTGAAAAATGTATGTTCTGACTTGTATAAATTAATTGGCTTTCATTTCAAAACAGTTAATGCCAAATTACAATGCCAAATTCGAGGAATATAAATTTTAAAGTATTATTTGTTCTCCATTTTGATTCTTTTCAAAAAAAAATAATTTTTTCCAAGCTGTTTGCGCATTTGGCGCTATTATCGAATTAATTCTTAATTAATTCGATTAATAAGTGAATCGCTTTGGACCATAAACACGAAAATAAAATACCCGTCGTCGACGCAATTATGGCCAATTTTCGTCGTAGTGAGCACCAATTAAGAGTAAAAATAAAAATCTGGAAAAAAGTGCAAATTGTAAAAAGTATAATTCTCAAAAACCTCCGCCGCAGTTTGTCTGAACATTTTCCCGTGCTTTTCACAATTTTCCTGCGCTTTTCATAGTTTTCCCGCGTCTTTCGGCATCAGGCTTATATATTTGTTGCCCTTAGTTATCGGTCAGTGTTTCATTCTCCGTTAGCATTTACCTAGGAAGAGCCGCTGGCGCGTATACATACACACGCACACCGACACCGCTGCCGCTGTTTCAAGTCATCTTTGGTCGTTTTAGTTCTCGATCGCTGCAGCAGTGCCATTTTCGGTCTGCTTAAACATTTGTTCGTTTTTTCGGTACGCTTGAGCTTGAGCGTTAGCTCCACTACACTGCGTGCGTGCGGCATATTACTGTCGCAGAGTTTAAATAAAAAGTATTAAAACCCTATTTAGATATTTTGGATGTACTTCTCTCGTTACTTAGCTCCCCTAGCTTCCTTCACTGCGTGCGTATGGTAACGTACTAGTTTTTTTTTTTTTGTAGATTTGTAGAACAAAAATAAATACAAGTAAACGCAATATACTTTACACGAAGTTCAATCATTGAATTTCGTGTTTAGCTGGTGACGCTCTAAAATCAGGCCTTTCAAGTCACTGCGGAAAATTATCCCAAAGCCCTTGCTAGCCTGAAGCGGGTGTACGATAATGATCTATTTTTTTTTTTGACAACATACAGACACTTTTTAATTTGCATAAAATATCCCAGTCTTCGGCTATAGCCTTGAGAACCCACATCGCAGCCTTGTATGACACCTTGCTGACTATTGGGGATTATAGACGCATTACTATTGCTATTTTAATACATCTGGTAATGAGCAAGGTCGATGCAGGAACTAAAAGAAAATGGGAAGAATAGTTAGATTATACAAAACTGTTCAGCAGACCCAATCTAACCCTAAGAAGAATGAAATAGGAGTTTTTCGTTTATCGCTGCCAGGAACGACCCTGTACAATGCGTGTATTGCAACTCAGCTGAACATTAGATTGGAAACTGCGCTTCCTTCGCAGCCCTAACAGTTCAGCAAAGATTCGATTTCGCTAAAAGAGCACCCTTATTTATGCATTAACTGCTTAAGAAAGGGCCACACGGTCAAAAAATGCAAATCGAACAGATGAAGAGTGTGCAATTCTTCACATCACACTTTGCCGCTCAATGTTTTTAAAAGTTATCCAATGTTCAATATCAAGTTCGCAGTACACAAAATTAAACTTTAACTTTTCGAAAAATTTCTTTTGCATGAATTTGCCGTTAATTATCCGTAAATTATTCGTGATATTGTGATATTATTGATATCAAGTTAACTGTACACAACACTAAACTTCAATTCTTCACTTCTTTTGCAGGAATTTGCCGTTAATTATGCGTAAATTATTCGTGAAAGAATAAAATTTGCCGCTCTTGTTTTAATATTTTTTTTTTTTTAACAAACCTTGTGTTCTGCTAGCTTGATATCAAGTAAACAGTACACAAAACTAAACTTTAAGTTTTCGAAAAATTTTCGAAAATATTTAGATTTTGAAAGATGTACTGCTAACTTTATGCACATGAAGGCATCGGATCGAGTCATTCTTGCAACTGCGGTTGTGAGCGTTCAAACCAAAAGTGGCGAGTTTGTATTAGTTCGAGCGTTGCTCGACTGTGGTTCACAAATAAACTTTATAACTGAAGAGCTCGCTCAGAGGCTCAAAATTACAAAGGAGGACAAGTGCACGAGCTTGCGAGGCAATGGCGGGACTAATGTCCAAGCTACAAAAAAATACACACGCTTGTTAAGTCGCGAGTAGAGAACAGCAGGTTGTCGTCCGATTTTTGGATCCTGAAAAATTTGTCTGGTTTTCATTTGGATCAAACAGTGAACACCAGCGTATGGAGGGTGCCCGCAAATATTTAGTTGGCAGATATGCATATCTGTTGGCCAGATAAAGCAGGGGCCGGAACTTCCCATTTTACATAAGACAGTTCTCGGCTGGATAGTGTCAGGAAGATGTGCCGCTGAAAATAAGTAAAGGCTGAAAAAATGGTACATCTCAGCTGCCGGTAGAAAGCGCTGGAGTCAAGTGACATCAACCTGCAGAAATTTTGGTCTGTGGACGACTTGCCGCCCAACACTAAAATCCATACTCCTGAGCAACAACTCTGTCAACAACACTTTGAGAAAAATACTCAAAGATTGTCGTCCGGTAGATTTTTGGTTCCTTTGCCGTTCAAATCTGACCCAAATACTCTTGGTTTGTCATACGAAGTTGCGAAAGGAAATTTTCAAAGGACCCTTCGCTGAAGAAGATTAATCTTGAATTCATGAAGAAATATGTTTCAAAATTCCGATTACTGAAAGTAGTTTTCGATGCATCGTGCCGTACTTCCACGCAGGTAGCGTTAAATGACATCTTGATAGTAGGCCCAACTATCCAAGAGGAACTGTACTCGACTTTGCTTCGGTTTAGAATGCAAAAGTTTGCCATTGCGGCTGACGTCAAAAATATGTATCGCCAAATGATGGTGGACAAACCTGCCCGAAATTTGCAGCTGATAGTATGGAGACGAGATCTTTACGAATCCCTGAGAATCTTTAAGTTTAACACAGGTACATATGGAACTTTGCCAGGTTATTCAGAATGATTTGTATGTTGACGATTTGTTAACGCCGGATGCGTTAGGACCTGCAAAGTTTTCGAGACGAAGTTTCTCAGGTCTTGCAAGAGGCGGGCTTTGAATTGGCAAAGTGGTTTTCAAACTGCCCATCTGAAAGCGCTGTTAAAACTCTTGGCGTGGTTTGGTTACAGGTTCAAGATTACTTTCATTTACGGTTGGATGACTCTTTCCTGGATTTTTGCGCGACAAAGCGAAATATTTTGTCGGTGACTGCTCGACTTTTCGACCCACTTGGCCTCTTGCGTCTTTTGGCAAAGGCAAAGATGTTGTTGCAGGAACTGTGGCTTCGAAAATTAGATTGGGACGAGTCGCTACCGATGTAGTTACTTACATCGTGGGAGATGCTTAAAGCGACGCTTCTGCAGCTGCCGAAAATTAAGGTATCGCGATTTATCCACACAGATCTACAAGTCCCGATTAAAATACATGGTGTCACTCACGCTTCCTTGCGAGCGTATGAAGCGTGCATCTACGTTCGGACTCAAACTGCTGAGGGTTTGAAAGTGTCTTTATTGACCGCCAAATCGAAAGTAGCTCCCCTCAAGACGAAAACTTTGCGTTGCCCAGTGCTGTGTGTAGCTCACCTTTAATCAAATCTCTATAATCGTGTCAGGCCATTGCTAAATTGTCTGATTGGGAATGTATTCCTGTGGTCAGACTCCGAGATCACTTTACACTGGATCAAAAACCCTCCCTCGTTGCTGTCGGTTTTTGTTTCGAGCCGGGTTTCAGAAATTCAGGAGTGGTCGGAGAAAGCAATTTGGAAACACGTTCCCACGAAAGTCAACCCAGCAGACATGGTGTCCCGAGGATGTAACGAAGGAGCTTACAACGTCCATTTGGTTCGGTGGGCATTCTTTCTTGCTCGACCCAGAAAATTATTGGTCTGTAAATAGACATTTCGAACTGCCGGCTCTCTCTCTCAGCCCAGAGCCAAATTATATGCTTCAGAAAACAGAGTCCTTTTCGTCGCACCTGAAGCTTCTGAGAGTGCTCGTATGGGTTTTCCGTTTTTGAAATAAATATTTCGCCAAGAGAACAGGATTTTGCTTTTGAAGTGATCCAATCTGACGAATTCAGGAAGGACATAAATAAAATTCGGAAAAATATACCGGTAGCAACGAATATTGAAAAGCTAAACCCCTTTATTCAGGACAAAAAATTTGATTCGTGTTCCTCGACATTGCTACGAGTTGGGGGTCGGTTATTGAATGCTCCTATCCCGTACGAAACCAAATTACCGTTGTTGCTGTCTAACGGCTTACCTATGTGTCATACCTACACGTTACGAATTGTCACGCTGGACCACGAGTTCTCGTAATTCGTCTGCGCGAGAAAATATTGCTAGTTAATGCTCAAGAAGTCTGCCGACGAACAGTTTGGTCTTGCATGCGCTGCTTAGCAACT